CCCTCAATTTGAGAGGTGACCAACTGGGAGTCACTATAAACCTTCACTTTTTGAGCTCCAAGCTCTTTAGCCTGCAATAAGCCGGCTATGAGGGCCTCGTACTCCGCCTGATTGTTGGAAGTTTCAAAGTCCATCTGCATAGAGTATTCAATTGCAACACCATCAGGGTTTTTGATGATAACCCTGGCTCCACTTCCTTTTGAATTGGAGGATCCATCGACATACACAGTCCAAGTATCCGGGCTACTGGAGTCCGTATGTTGGATTGAAGTGAGTTCTCGAACGAAGTCGGCTAATGCCTGAGACTTGATCGCTTTACGGCTTTCGAAATCTATGTCAAATTCTGACAACTCCACAGCCCAACTCATCATTCTTCCTGCCAAGTCTGGTTTATGAAGTATTTGCCGGATTGGCAAGTCGGACCGCACCAGGATCCTGTGTCCTTGAAAGTATGCTCGGAGCCTTCTTGCCGAGATTAAGAGAGCAAAAGCTACCTTCTCTAATCGTTGATACCGGAGCTCGACCCCTTGCAAGAGCCGACTCACAAAATATATCGGTTGCTGACCTTCTTCGTTCTCCTGTACTAGAGCCGAGCTGACAGCCACGTCTCCGACAGATAGATACAGAATTAAAGTTTCTAGCTCCCTTGGTTTTGCTAGTGCTGGAGGTGAAGTCAGTTGCCTCTTAATCTCTTGGAATGCAGCTTCGCACTCCGAAGTCCATCCATACTGCACTTCCTTCCTTAACAATTTGAAGAAAGGCAAGGTTGTCTCTGCTGACCGGGGCAAGAACCGGGTGAGAGAAGCCAACCTTCCTGTTAATTGATGTATTTCTTTCTTATTTGTTGGTGCCGTCATCCCCAGCACGGCCCCACACTTATCCGGATTTGCCTCAATCCCTCTATGCGTTAACATAAAGCCGAGGAATTTTCGTGCAAATACCCCTAAGGCACATTTCGCAGGGTTCAACCGGATGCGATGCTGTCTCAACTTACCAAAGGTCTGCTCCAAATCTCTGATGTGTACTGCCATATCGACCGACTTCATTATCATGTCTTCGATGTACACCTCAACGTTCTTGCCCAGCTGATCAGCAAATACCTGATTCATCATTCTTTGATAAGTGGCTCCCGAATTTTTCAATCCGAAAGGCATCACATTATAACAGTAATTCGCCTTCTCCACAATGAAGGCGGTTTTCTCCTGGTCTCCAGGGTGTAACGTGTTAGTATTTGGGTGTCCTAGAGACAATCTTATGATTAAATAAGGACATAGATGTAGACCTTTGTATTGTCGCAAATAAATAAAAGCATTTTTTATCCTGTTTCATATTTTGTCTCGATATTACTGTTAACTTGATAAACCCCTTGGAATAAAATAGGTATCTCTTGAGTATCTGTGATGAGATCACGATCATGAGGATTCAAGGATATTGTATGTTTATTCCTAATTTTATGTTCCTAGTCTAGAGACACTGAGAATGAGGATCAGTGATCTCGGGTAAGACTAGCACGACTTATCTACTTGTATTCGGATGCAAGGTAAAGACCTCATGAGCTACAGATATGGAGATGTCTTAGCTAAAGTCGTGGGTGGATCTATAAGGGTATAGCTCGCACTGAACAGACCCACAAAAGAGACTCTCTGAGAAAATCTCACAGAGAGTATCATTAGAGTAGTCTCTTTATATTTGGGTATGTCTTTCCTTAGACCAGAAGTTATTACCTAGACTGTGTTCTAGAAGGCATGCTTTGACTGTATACCTCGTCTGCCTGAAACATGGAGACTCATAGGTATACTGTTGGGCTTGTCCTGAAAGAGCACAGGGCTAGGGTGATAAGCTGAAGGAATTCGTCAGATCTCTGTGAGAGATTAAGTTATCTGTAAACCGGAGAAATCGGGATGACATTTACAGGGACTCGGGAATCTATGCATAGTAAAAGAGATCATGAGATGATCTGCCTTTAGAGTCAGTAAATTGAAGATTCCCTATTTCGAATAAAGCTTACCCTAAACCGCAAGGGTTGATACGTTTCCTTACCCTAGGTTTTATGGGAAGGTAACCGAGACGAAAGGAAATACATACGGCAACCAAATATGTGTAATAGGATGATTATGTCATTAACCTAACTAGCTCTAGGGCAACAAAGCATTGCTAGTGCTCTGTGTTGTCATTAGATGGGTTGTGGGCTTATTGGGCCCAAGCCCATTTATGTCAGTGGCTATGTTGGGCCTAATGGGTCACACACTAACACCTTTTTGTCATGACAATATAGCATTAAAGGTATTGGGCCTAATAATGGTTGTTAGCCCAAGAAGAAGTTTGGAAGCCCACCAAAAGGAAAAAAGGGCGCATGGTTAGTTAATGAGCTTGGATGGTCCAAGACATTACTAATTAATTTAATTAGTTAAATTAATTATCAAATGTTTAAATTTTGAATTTTGAATTTGAAATTTGAAATTTGAATTTTGAATTTGAATTTTGAAATTCGAATTTTGAATTTGAAATTTGAAATTTGAAATTTGAAATTTGAAATTTGAAATTTGAAATTTTGAATTTTGAATTTTGAATTTTGAATTTTGAATTTGAATTTTGAATTTGAAATTTGAATTTGAATTTGGAATTTTAATTTGAATTTATAATTTAAATATTTGAACGTTTGAATTCAAATGTTTGAATTCGAATTTGAATTGGCTATGAAAAGTTGTTTCATAACAAAAGGAAAAGATAAGATCTTGTTGGAACAAATCCCAAATATCAAGAGGAGATCTTTGAGAATCTTCTAGTGAGGATATGGGGCGCTGATTTAGGTATCTGATGATGGTCATAGGATCAACCAAATGAGCTCAAGTCAGATTTGGTTTGTTGAGAGAATAAGTGAGACAGTTGGTTCAAGTTTGAATGCAACTTCTCAACGTATTTGGACTGTTATGAGGCCATGTGGGGCGCACCATATGGCTGGCCATATGATGGTTGTTGAGTCAGATTCTTGTTGAGATATTCACTTGATATCATGAGGATGTGAGAGGAGGTTGTTGACAAGATTTGAATTTTGCAACAACTCCACTTATCCCCCTAGTGTGCGCTATATATAGGGCCTTATTTGAGTGAAGAAAATCAAATTTTTAATTAACTCATTCTCTCATCTCCTTGTGGGTTCCTTTTGTGAGGTTTTTCTTAAGAGAGTTTCGAAATAACCTAGCCTTTTTCAAAGAAAACCATGCGCCACTTTTGTGTCTATTCTTGCTGAATATTCACTCTTCTAAACACCTTGACCTAGCCTCTTATGCGCCACACATTGGGCGCATAGCTTGCCTCCATTGGTGTTTTCGTTGGTGGCCTTGAAGAAGAGTTCTTCCGTCTTGACAAAGGGTGGTGTGGATCAACATTAGAGGGCTTGCATCTTCAAGCCTCACCTTGATCATCCTCCAGTTTTGGAAAGCAAACAAGGTAACATCCATGCCCTAAAGCATGTTTCTTGATATGGTATGTGTTATTCCACTAGAAAATTTTTGTTTTTCCCTCTCACATGCCTCGACCTTCAAGGTCAGTTTCTTTCATAACGGAATTTGATTATACCCTGAGTAAGCGTCCATGAAAGACAACATTCGGAACCCGGATGAGCTATCAACCAATTGATCTATGTTAGGCATCGAGTATGCATCCTTGGGGCATACCTTATTTAGGTCTGTGTAGTCAGTGCATACCCTCCATTTTCCACTTGGCTTTTTAACCATGACTACGTTAGATAACCAGGTTGTGTATTGTATTTCCCGGATGAATCCTGCCTCCAACAATTCCTTCACGTGATCCTCCAATACTTGTCGACGTTCCCAGCTGAGCTTTCTCTTCTTCTGGGCCACCGATTTTGCACCGGGGTAAACGGCTAACTTGTGGCAACAAAAGGCAGGTTCTACCCCAGGAATTTCTGAAGACTTCCAAGCAAAAATGTCACTACTGCTCCTTAGACAGGCGGCGAGCTGGGCTTTCTCTTCACCCGTTAACCCTTTGCCGATCTTCGCAGTCTGCCCCTACTCACCTACAGTTATCTCTTCTAGCTCTCCATCGGGCTCTGACCTTGGCATCTGGGCATCGTCCCTCATATCTAACTCCACCATATGAACGAAGCTCTGCTTTGAGGGTTTATGGCCGTTCTGCTTGATCACAGCTATAACTTCAGGATCCTTATCCACCATTCGTACCGACTTGAAGTAGCAATCTCGAGACTCCTTTTGGTCCCCTGCTATGGTGAGCACCGTACCCTGCTTACCAACCATCTTGAGTTTTTGATGCTTGGTTGAGACTAACATGTCCCGATCGTGGATGGTAGGTCTTCCCAAAATCACATTGTACTCTGAAGGGAAATCGGCTACGATGAACCTCACCCTTTCGGATTTGTACGCGTCCTTAGTCCCCAGAGTTAGTCTGAGGTCAATATACCCCCTAGGGGTGGTGTTGCAACCATTAAATGCCATTAAAGCCGTGTTACATGGCTTCAAATCTTCCTCATCCAAATTCATTTTTTTGAATGCCTGCCATAAAATTATATCAGCGCAGCTTCCATTGTCTAGAAAAATCTTCTTAACTCTGCAGTTGACCAGCGTTCCTGTAATCACCAACCCATCAACATGCCTTGGCATTACATCCTCCAGCTCCTTCTTTGTGAAATATAACAACGGCGGCTCTGGTTCTTCTTCTTTAAACTTGGGGCGTTCCCTTATTGAGAGCACCTCCCTCAAGTATTTGCGTCGGGCGTTCATCGTGTCACCCCCGCCACCAAAAGCTCCGCTGATCACATTACATTCGAATTCCGGCTCCTGGAACTCGTCATCCTCCATGGCCAGCTTCTTATTCCGACCTTCCTCTCTGAACTTCTTATCTTTGGGGGGGCTCATAAGCCGACCACCTCTCCTCTTTCTGTTTCTCCATCCTTGAGTCCGGATCAAATACTGTCACAGCTTCCCCTCCCTAACATACTTCTCAATTGCGTCTCTGAGGTCCTAGCACTCATCAGTGGTGTGACCCGGCCCGTCATGGAATGCACAGTATCGGGACTGATCTAACCCAGCTGGGTTCTGCAATGGCCGAGGTCTTTCCACCTTCTTCATATCTGTTGAGGCGACCTCACGCCAGATTTGCGACCGGGGAGAATTTAAAGGGGCATATTTGTCAAATCTCCCCATCACCTGGAACCTGTCATCTTGTCTTTTTCCTCGAAGGTCATTTGCTCTTCGACCTCCGAGCTTTTCTCCCTGACCAGGTTGATGTCTTTGGTCGACATTTTCTAGTTCCATCTGTTCAAGCTCCAGGTACTTCTTAAAGCGCGTGTTGAACTCAACCAAGGTCCGAGGTGGCTCTTTATATATTGACTTAGCTAACTGTGATGTTCCATGCAGCCCGGCTATTACTAAATGTAAGTGAACGTTCTCGGATAACCCGGGTACCTGCAAGGCGGCCAATTTGAACCGGTCCAGGTATTTTTGTAATGTTTCACCGGGTTGTTGCTTAATCTTCCCTAACGCAAATTCTGATTTCGGCTGCTTCTTACTGGTGGCAAAGTTGAGTAAAAACCAGCCACCAAATTCTTCAAAGGATCCGATAGACCCAGCTGGTAACGACGAAAACCACGCCTGGGCCGCCCCAGTTAGCGTGGTTGCAAAAAGCCTCGTGATCAAGGGTTCTTCTATCCCTTTGATATACATCTGTCAAAGGCATCTAAGTGTACTTGAGGATCCTGCGTTCCGTCATACTTGATCAGCTCGGATAAATTCAAATTTTCCGGATATGGAGCTTCTACGATCTCATCCGCAAAAGGACTGTCGTTATATTGCCCCCTGTTATACTTCCTCTGATATACCCCGGTTACGTCATCCGGATTTCGGACAATAGGTCCTTGACGGTGGGGGTGGGGGATCTCGGCCAACCGCACCTTATCCTGTACATCCCGCCTCTCTTCGTGCCGAGGTTGCTGGTGATGACCCGGATTACCTCGGCCTTCAGGATGCCGTGGTTGTTGATTGGTATTCGTGTTGGCCGCAGTTTGTAGAGGTCAGCCAGCGTTAGTCCTTGTTGGACGACGAATTTGTTCCTAGTTGTCCTGCTGTGGGTTTGCGATCCGTAGGTCTGTCATGACCTGCGTGATGGCTCGCGCGGGATCTGGGTTGGTAACCCGCCATAGCCGAGCTTCCGGTTCCCGGATCTGTCTTGCATCCGCTCGTCGCTGCAGCTCATTTCGCTGTTCCAACTCCTCCATCCTTCGAAGAACAGCTGCCATGGCTAAATCCGTCACCCGTGGGTTTGGGGCTACCGCGTTTGGATCTTCAATAGGTTGTAACCCTTGTACGTACGGTGCATCTGGATTAACCGCCAGAGTTGATGCCGAATCTGAGTGCACATCACTAACGTGCACAACATCTGGATCTGGGATCTGTGGCATCTGCTGACCCTGTTCTTCTGGATCTTCCCTAATGGGAGGAGGAACTTGCAGGTTCCCAGAATTTGACATTGAAGGTTGTCGGAGACCACTCCTCGTAACCCTCACCATTTCCTTAATTGGCTTTCTAGAACGTTTGATTATGGGAAAGAAGTTTCCCACAGACGACGTCAATGTTCTGCCTGAGGCAGATGTGTCCAATTGAGATTGGATGATTGATCTAGGATTTAAGTGCTTCTCTCTAGATACCTATGAATTAGGTACCTTGAGGACAGCGAATCACAACGCACTATATGACGGCCTTAGCCTGAGGGGTGTGTGTGTGCACTGTCGTGATTGCATAAAATAGGGTCAGAGAGCTCTTCATACCTGTGGTCTTTAGCTCCTATTTATCGTGCTTACCTGTGGGCTTGAGCTATTCAGGCTTTCCGCAACTATGGGTCTTCCTCTAGTCCATAACACCATGTATCAAGAGGGATTATTTAGCTGGGTTTCTTAAACAGATACCTATGCAAATTGTTTCGGTAGAATAATCATTTAGGTAGCCATATATTCCAAATGTTTAAACCAAACAAAAGCATCCAATTATTCCACTTCACAAATATCCATCTATCTCAATATAATCCTCCAACCAAACACCCCCTCATAGCATATTTGAATTTATATTTTGATACTTCACTGTAGGTCAGCAAACAGTAACGTGATTTTACGAAAATTAAAAATAAAAATTGGTATCTCTTTTCAATTTAATCTCAATTTTCTTCCTCAAGCACGAACCCTAATCCCTTATTTCCCAATTTTCGTCATTCACTCTCTCGCAGAGCTACGTGCTCCTTCAATCGCTAGCAGATTCGAAGCTCCTTGCGTCTGTTGCTGCTGAAGAAGCCGACACGAGGTTGATAGGGTAAGCAGCAAAAGCAAAGAGGTTCCACTCCGATAATCAAGAACAACATCGTTATTGAGGACTGGTATCGTATCTATCACATTTTCTCTCTTGATTTTTTCTTTCATTATAATTTGTCTTTTACTTCAAATTAATTGAAGAGATGAGAAGGAATGTAAATGGGTATTTTGCTTCATATGTAATCATCATTTTCTACGAATTTTATGCTGCCTATGTATTGATCTTGTAATATCTGTTACAGTTTGATTTCCTTTTTAAGTTCTCTTATCTGAAGGCTCATTTTGGGGCAAGAATGAATTTTGGGTTTTAAATTAATGCTACTCTGTTATTTTCCATGAAGCTAAGCTTTTAAATTTATGTTTCTGCTTTGATTTGATACACTAAAAAAGTGAAAACTGAACTGGTAATTGGACTGGTAAGTGGTTCATATGGAATTACTAATGGGTTCCCGGCACACTTTGGAATCTTAAGTGAAGATGTGATGCCAGTTCCCACGTATTTCAGTTAAACTTCAGAACCAGACCAATTCTCAACTGGGAAAGCTACCAGCTTACCACTCTTCATATTGTACGTCTTTTGTGATAATGTTAAAAAGCAGCATGTAAGAACCTTGTTCATGGTTTTTTCTTCTAAAGAATAGGACAGCAAGAAGTAAAAAGAGAAAAAGGATGGAACCTAAATGAATTATGGAATGCCAATGATCTTTTATGATTCAGTATCTAGAAGTTTATACTTTATACAGATTAGAGTTTAAACTCATGTTCCGAGAAGAAAATTCTAGCAAGACAAAATAACGAAGATACGTTGGAAACAATTTTAACTATGTTAAGCATAGAGGTTTCTCAATTTCAATATAAATATTGGTAATCATGTACCTTTCTCCACCAAAGATTTGCAAACACAGTAGCTGAGACAAACGAAACCAGTAAGGCAGGTGATGTAGGATTTTTGTGAGGTTACAACATTTCAAACCAATCGTCATCATTTGTGCTGAGCAGGGAACATTCTTTCCACATTATACAAGCTTAAAATTGGACCAAGGCTTTAAAATTTGATCTAATGTAATTTATTTAGGACCTTAATCTTTGATTATCTTCTTTAGGGCCTTGATAATTTGGCTCAGTGATGGATGAGTTTATCGTATCCAATTAAGTAATAACCATCGTGAACTTTCTGAAATGATGTTGGTTCTCAGAACCCATGTTAACACGTAGGCCAAGCAGGAACCAGAACACATGCACAGAATTTTATTAGTGAAAGAAAACTTAGAATGCTGAAGAAAAAAAAAAGGATATTGGTGCTAAGCACATGAGAATTAGTTCTTGGATTTTTGGCATAGGTTACAGAAAAATAAAGCGCTTATAAAATTTAAGATTGGCTGGAGATATTCATAGAATCTTTCTGTCTTTGTAACTTCCCTTTTAAGATATGATATTTATATTTTCAAAGGCTATTGTGTAATTCGGTCTCTGCCTTAGATGCTACATGTAGAACTGAAGATGCTAGACAAAATAGGGTTTGATATGAAAAATTGTTCAGAAGTATGAATAACATTTGTTAAGAACAATAAATTGTTCAGACTAGAGGCTATGTAATATTGATTTCTGCAGATGAACAGATGACTAAATTTGAATAATGTTAACATGGACTATATTTATTTACATTTTATGTTTATCTCGTACCTGTTGATATCATCTCACGTGGTTCCACTTTGTATTCCCGTCAATTGTTGACCCTAGCCTTGAGCAACTTTATAGGGAGACTTGTTATACTATAAGTTTTAATTGACTCATATAGATGAGAACGAGGCATTTTATTTGCTACTTTTGATTACATTGCAATTTTGAAAATTCCAAATTTCATTTTATGTTGATATCATTTGAGAATAAGACTAATTTTATTTTTTTAAATTTCTTGGGCTGGCCATAGCCCACATGGTCCTGTGGGCTTTTGGCCCTATTGGCTTTTGTTTTTTTGTGGCCTTTTCCCCCTTGCACACATGGACTAAGGTTGAGTGGGGTGTGCTAACCCATATTGACGGTTCTACTTGCTATGTTATCTTCTGTACTTTTCTCTTGCTTCCTCAACCCTCTTCACTCTTCTGGTTTCTCTTCTTTTTTCTTGGTTTGGTTATTTGGGTGTCCCCTTGTATATGGATTGCCTGTGTCACTGTGTGATTGCATCTCTGTTCTGGCGCCTGGGCTGTAGTGTATTGCTTTATGTTTGCTTTTTCCCTTGGACTATACTATGGGATTCTATGTTAATGTGTTGTTAATTTTAATTTGGTTTTATATCTCCCAAGAATTCTCTAGAATTGAGACATAATTTTCCTTCTTTCTATATGTTTCTAGAATTCAGATATAATTGTCCTTCTGTGTGTTTATGGTAAGAGGCCCGAGACCCACTCATTGAGTTTTATTAGATATATTTAAATGTTACCTTAGTATTTCATATGTATTAGCAGTTCTGTTTGTATATGGTTCTCTTTTTTAATTGTATTAGGTATATCGTATTTTGTATATAATATGAGCTACTTTTTAACTATGATACGCAGTATGCTATGCGCCATTCCTGCGACCTATAGATAAGTGTTCTATTCACAATTTTTGTGAATAATAGATTAGAAGAACTGATTTGGGTTGGGACCCTTTATCCTAATGTTTTCTAAATTATGTATAAAATCGTATGGATTTGAACCATTTATGGTTGTTATCTTATGGTGGTTTTTAGTTTCCATGTTTCAATTTTGACAAATCATACCATAGCTTGCTGGAAATTTCATTTAGTTTTTTCTCAATCTAATAGTCTTTTTGTTTTGTTAAATGCAGCACACTTTTAATTTTTAATTATTTAATAATCCCATTTACAACTTAAGTCCACATCAAAACAACAAATTGCTATAGCTGGATACAGTATTAAATCTTTGAAATAAAAGGTTAGTTCAAAAAAAATCAGCAGAAATTTGGTTTCAAATCAAATTTATATAGATTTACTAGTTTAAATTTGAACAGTTCTGAACCAGCTCTCTTCTTTGCCAAGCAACCGTTAAGATTAAAAGTTACAGGCACTTTTCACATTCATGCATTATTGATCTCAAAAATTCTATCATTACTGGTGTCCTATATTATATGCCAATAAAAGAAACTTTTTCCAACTAATGGTCAACCACACAGAAACTATAAAAACACTTCTCATATGATTTTAACCAAATGCTTTTGCTTTTTTCTGACAGTGGTTCTTGCTAGAGCAATCTCTCAATAGCTGAAACTATAGCAGGCACTCAAGCATCTATGGGTATAATCAGGAGTTGCTTCTCTTTCATAGCAGGAACAGTCTGTGGGGTTTACGTGGCTCAGAATTATCAAGTTCCTAACATCATGAAGCTAGCTGACACTGCCTTGTTCATGGCAAAAGTCATTGAGGAAAAATACCGCAAACCCAAGAAGAGAGGTGGTGATGAAGACTAGTGCTTAAACAACGCTATGTTGGAATCAGGTTCTTGTTTTGTTTTAAATCCTCCTATATTATATAGGATCAAATATCTTTATTAACAAAACTTTTGGAATACACAAATTATAGAGGAATTTTTGTGGAAGCATTCTTACTTTCTTAGCATTTATAGGCTTATTATTTTTTCATTTCCAAGGGAAACATTCTCATTCCTCGGTTGTCTTTCTTGCTCTAAATATCAATTTAAGACCCAAGTTAAAGAAGTTTCATATACTCAGTTTCTCAAATCTTGGATGATAAGTTAGCCTCAGGCCGGAAATCTGTTTCATGGTCATCAGAGTTGTTTGTCATATTCAATTGATTTTATGCCCCTAATAACAAATGTTTTTTTGGTAATATCAATTAAATTTTATTTCCCTAATATCAATTGAATTATCTGATGCTGTTAATTATAATATTTGATTGGGGTTTATTATTTTACATTATTATCTTGTTTGTTTAGCAATTTGCATGTGTTGTTGAATTTCTGGTTTAACATGTTAGCATGCACAAGGTTTCTGGACCATTTTTTTCTACAACTTCTATTTGTAATTTGACGGACTTGTTATTGTTATTTCACATGTGCCCCCATGATAAATGCGCTATTCTGTCCCAATGCCAACATCGTCTCGTCTCATATATGGATCGGTATGTCTACATGAACAAACACAGAGGCTGAATCTGGTGTACTTAAATCATGAGGCTTTTTCTCTTAGGTTATTTTATTTTGTTGGGCCAACTTCTAGTTTTCGGATGGGCTTTACTCGTGGGTTTCAGTCATAACAACTAATAATTGATTTATTAATAAAATCTTTAAAATTATAATCAAGGAGTATCCTGAACCAAGTTGGCAGAATTGAGGATCAGGGACCTAATTTAAAATGTCATTTTACTTCAAAAAATAAATGCGTAACCTATACTAAATTGTTAATCAAGAATGTGAGTCGTTCTGCGACATTTGATTAAATGTATACAACTTCATTCATAATTATCTTTTTGTTGGTATTCATGATATTTTCGGTTGAGACATATAGGAATGAAATTCTAAAAAATGTGACCTAACCCGGAAACTTTGAAATTTCTTCAGTGTTATGGATGCATTGAATTTTCAGTTCATCTTTCACTCACAATATGTGAAACGTGCGAGAGAGTGATTTGATAAAAAAGTAAGACACGTGTCACATTGTGAATGAAAAATATATCGAAAATTCAGTCGAAAATTGAAAATATTCTCGCAAACTACAAATATGATCTTATTGGTAGAATGGAGTTAATAGAGGTCCCACTCATTCCACCAGCAACCATGTTCCTGTGCTCACTACCTGTTGAAGCACACAAAAAGCAAGCCCTGTGGCTGTGTAGTGCATTACGCATCATGAACATGAATAATCCCTCTCGCGCAATAGAGACATTCCACCTATTATTCCCTTAACACAGACATCTAACTTGCTTTCCTAGGAGTGGGAGAGTAAAGTAACAAAGAGACATATGGCATGCATATTGCAAATGCCCATGATGTGGACATGAGAACTTTAACTTGTTACTTTCTTCGGTGCTTCAATCAGAAAACGGCAAAAGGGTGAAGGTGAGCTGTGTGTCATCTAAAGATCTCTACATACTAGAAAGTAGAGCCTCCAAAATTAAAGGGACAATTATAGGCATGGTAGCATGCAAAGCAGAACAAACAAGTGATCATTTAAGAGTATTCCAAGTTCTTATTTTTTATTTTTTATTTTTTATTTTTTTCAGCGCGTTTCTGCCACATGGATAACACACAATTATAACAATGGTTTCAAGACAATATTGAAACTTCAAAAGAAAAGGATTTTTTTTGTAAGAATAAATATTTTGTAACAATGGTTTAAAGACAATTATAAAAAAACATTTTTTTTGTAAGAATAAATTTTATTATTTTCAAAATATTATTTATCTCTTTCCAATAAAAAAAATTAAATTCAAATTTTTTAAGGATTTTCCAAACAATAATTATATAAAACATATCTTCAAACAAAAACTTAAATCATACAAACTTTAGTTAATTTTAGTTAATAAAAATATGAATTAATGCTATTTTGTATATTATTATAATGAAAATATCATAATCTAACATCAAATACAAAATAATATATATCCCTTGATATACATGAAAAAATTGAAATTTAAAAGATAGTAAAACATATCATGTATAAAATTATAATACCAGTCAATATTTTTTCAGTCAATATATTTATAGCTATTTAAACATAATAATATTATATTTAATCACAATAAATATTGAACAAAGAAAAACTGGTGATGTAATTATGTATGTTAAAAGAAAAGTGATCAACAGCAATATTTCCCCTGGACAAAATATATACTGTATTTGCCTATTTGGTACAAGTTTTAGTTAAAGATACCTAGACAAATGGAAGTGGTAATTTTATATGTCAATATTTGGTACCAGATTTTAAAAAAATTGCTAGAAAATTTATTGTCCCAGTATTTGTTTTTTGTGTGTAAAAAATATTAGTATTTGTTTTTTGTGTGTAAAAAATATTGTTGAATAAAACTGGGGAAATCCAAAAAGGGTTGTTGTGAAAATTTAAACAAGAAGACCAAAATGACCCTGATGTTGGGAAAAATTATTCAGCAAACTAAAATCATATTTTCCCACCTATATTTTAATTAATTTTTTCGGTAATATTTTGATTTACTAAATAATTTTTTTTAAACTTTCCTACCAAACTCATTTTTTTACCATATTCTTAATAATTATTTTTTTCTAATAAAAAAAAAAGATTTCTTCTATCAAACGCCCACTTGAAACTATGTCAAATTTTAATGCAATCAACAAGAACGGGGATATGACAAAATGATTGAATTTTTATCTCTTGATTAATTTAGCTCCAAAAACATGTCATTCCCATCACTTTTGGTAGCTATAGCTCTGGCCCTCACTTTTCATTCTCTCTCTCAAGAGTCTCCTTTCCCCTCTAAATATCCCATTCTTCCATTGAATGGACGCATCTATACTATTCATTTTTATGAACTGTTATTTTGCTGAAATGTAGAGCCATCATAGCCAAACACATTCGCTCATTACAGAATATCTATGTAGCACCTAAGAAACTCTAATAGAGCCTTGGTCTATACTATTGTTACTAAGAGTATTCCTAGATTGATATACTTTATCCTCCAAGGTAGGGATGTGCATGGGTCGAACTGAACCGAATTTTTTGAAAAACCGAACCGAATTGGTTTAAATGGTTCGGTTCGGAAGTAGTTCGGTTCGGTTCAAAACTGGTTCGGTTCGAAAGTGGTTCGGAATCGGTTTGAAAGTGGTTCGGAACCAGTTCGGGTCGACCCTCTTTTGAAAAAATAAAAAATAAAAAAATAAAAAATAAAGTTATAAAAATTAATTTGGTTTGATTTGAAAATGGTTCGATTCGGTTCGGTTATTAAACCGGTTCTAAAAACCGGTTCGGTTCTTAAACCGGTTCTAAAAACCGGTTCGATTCATGAACTGGTTCTTTAAAAACCGGTTCGGTTCATGAATTAGTTTTTAAAAACTGGTTATTTTATGGGGCGGTTCGATTCGGTTCATAGTTCGACCCACTTTTTTGGTTATTTTGCACGTCCCTACTCCAAGGGATACATAAGTGGCTCTACACACAACCCAGTTCGATATCTATTGCTGGTAATAATATCCCTAGATTGATACAGTTTATCCTCCAAGGGATACATAAGTGGCTCTACACACAACCAACAGTTCAATATCTATTATGAAGTACTTGTTAGAAATTACTCATCTATTAAACAAACTTCTTTATATGGAAGTCTTTCTACGTTTGAAATTTAGAGAAACTACACAAAAATTTTATTCTATAAGTTTTGGTTATTTTGATTGGAAATATGATAAGAATCTGACTCTCTACCATTTGATAAAATTATACTTTATAAATGATTTTATTATAGAAAAGTCAAGTTATTCAGCCCAAGGTCAGGTCAGAACAATATCTTCAACCGTGACCCAAATAATAAGGATCACTCAATCAAAGCTTTTATATTATGTCGTGTTTTAGTGCAATATGGGACCGGTGCTGCACTTTGAGAATAATGGAAGACAAGAAATTATTGATATCCAACCATGTGAACCTGTGCAAGTGCGAAGTGTGAACCTTTGGTCAAAAATTACAATGAGAAAGGATTAAAAAATGGTAGTATATCTAGATTCTAAACCGTGCACGTGGCTGGGTCATAGCGTATAAGACAAAAAATAACTCCGCATAAGATGCTCATGTTTCAACTTTCTACCAATATCTGTAATGTATAATGATAATACTAATAATGTATGGGAAATGGTCAAGCGAGGCTCACCATTAAAAAGAAAAAAAAGAAAAGAAAAAAAAGAAGGAGTGTGATTTTCGAAGTGAGACAAAATGAGATAACTATCTCATATAAAATGAGAGTAGTATTCTCATAATGTATACTTAATTTTTTTTGAGTAAACCCAAAAGTATTCCCACCCCACGTAGGATAGGACTAATCCTCTTTCGTGGATTGAGAGGACAAGGGATTCTCCGCTACCCACAAAGTATATTTACCCGGAGTCGAACTCAAGTCCTTTAGACTCAAAGCCCAAAACCTTTGTACTCAGCACCAAACCAACTGAGCCACACCTTTCATGTTCTCATAATGTATACTTAGCACAACACAATATCACACTGAGATCCATTCATTTCATTTGTATTTTTGCATCCCTTTGAGGCTTTCCTTTTCTCCTTCAAAACTCACCTAAGAGATCTAAGACATTGCTCGCAAAACTTTCTCTGTAGTCAAAAGCACATTGGGTCCATCCATCCCCTTTTTCTAATCCTCATTTCCCCATCACGAATCTCATCATTATAAATAAATAATGATGAGAAAGGTTGGATAAAATAAGAGAAGATAGAAACCATAAATCAAGGAAAACGAGAAAAAAACAAAGCAAAAACCAAGTTAACAATAGTAGAATACAGCTCCTCTTGTGATGATTATCTAATCGTAAAGCAATCCACTTTGGATACCCCATTGGTATAACAAACAGAAAGAAATGAAAAACCAGCATGCCCATCTCCCTATTCTTCATTCACCTTTTCTTCTTCTTCTTCTTCATTAGTTCCTGTGATCAAAATTCATACACACCATGCCTTCAAGACCCTTCCCTCATACAAGTCCTAATTTTTTCACCAAAACAAGGGTCCTGTTCTTAGCACTCACCATTTCAGCTTCTGTTGTTATTTTCTGCTCAGTACTTTATTTCCTTTACCATCTTTGGCATTCTCTTGTGCACAGAGCTAAGACTATCCCCTTTGATGCAAGTGCTCCCTTGAAGCTCCAAAGATTCTCATACAAGGATTTAAAGCAAGCCACCAATGGCTTTGACACTGCCAATGTCATTGGTAAAGGTGGGTCTGGCACTGTTTTCAGTGGAGTACTTAAAGATGGGAAATTGATTGCTATCAAGCGCCTAGACACGCTGTCTTTGCAGTCAGAACGAGAGTTTCAAAATGAGCTGCAGATTCTTGGAGGGTTGAGATCGCCGTTCCTGGTGACCCTCTTGGGCTATTGTGTGGAAAAGAACAAAAGAGTGTTGGTGTATGAATATATGCCCAACAGAAGCTTGCAAGAGTCCCTCTTTGGAAATGGGTGTTTGAGTATGAGTTGGGAGAGCAGGTTTTGCATAATATTGGATGTTGCTAGAGCATTGGAGTTCTTGCACCTTGGATGTGATCCACCAGTGATCCATGGAGATATCAAGCCAAGCAATGTTCTGCTTGATGCAGAGTACCGTGGGAAGATCTCAGACTTCGGATTGTCAAGGATTAAGGTGGAGGGTGAATTTGGTTTGGACTTGTTTAGCCAGGACCTGGGGAAGAGCCAGGAGCTATGGAAAAGCCAAGAGCTTTCAGGTAATTTAACTGCAGAAACTCCGGCTATTGGTACTCCAGTTGAGAGTGTTAATGAAGTTGATTTTGCTTTAGCTTTGCAAGCCTCTTCTTCATCCAAAAATAGCAGGGCCTGTTTAAATGTTAGAGCTTTGAACTTGAATTCTTTGAATTATAACGCTAATATTGCCGGTGAAAGTGGAATTAGGACTACAAATGCAAAGGGTAAGGAGATTTCAACTTTGGATATAGGAGGGGATGATTGGAATAATAAGTTTGTTCCTTATGATGATGAGTTTTCTAGCATTGATTATAGTAAGGAGTTAACTGTTAATGCTTCTTTGGTGGATGATGATAAGGCAGATGGGAAACAATGGGGAAAGGACTGGTGGTGGAGACAGGATGGAAGTGGTGAATTATGTAGTAAAGACTATGTCACGGAGTGGATAGGGAGTCAAATTGGTCCATCAAACTCTGATTGGGATGATGGTAAGAACAATGCTCATGAGAAAGCAGAGTTGGAAAATTCAAGTCCAATAGATAAAGCCAATAATGCAAATGGACCCCAATTACAGGTGTTTGGTATAGGGAATACAGATAATGGGGTTGAGAATGAAGAATCGAGGGGAAAGAAAAACCACAAGAAGAAGCATAGGAAGATGCAAGAATGGTGGAAAGAAGAGCATCTTGCTGAATTAAGCAAGAAAACCAGCAAGCTGAAAAATCTTCAAACTAAGTGGAAGAAAGGCTTGAAAGTGCCCCATTTTGATTTGGGTAGAAGGTTTTATCTTTGCAGACGTAAGAACTTCGGAGAGGAGGATCAGAATGAGTGTGATCAAAATGGGGAGTTTAGCTTCAGAAGAGGTTGGAAGAAGAAAAGTACTCGTTCCATTGGAAGTGACATGTGGAGCGGAGATCTTTTAAGCCGCGAGCTCAGCAGCACAACTAGCATGAGAGGGACACTGTGTTATGTAGCACCAGAATATGGCGGCTGTGGATTCTTAATGGAGAAAGCTGACATTTACAGCTTTGGAGTTTTGATTCTTGTAATTGTGTCAGGTAGAAGACCATTACATGTTCTTGCATCCCCCATGAAGCTAGAGAAAGCTAATTTAATAAGCTGGTGTAGGCACTTGGCTCAAGTTGGTAACATTTTAGAACTAGTAGATGAGAGATTGAAAGATGATTACAACAAGGAACAAGCAAGCCTGTGTATCAACTTGGCACTCACCTGCATACAGAAAATTCCAGAGTTGCGGCCAGATATTGGGGATATTGTTAAGATTTTGAAGGGGGAGATGGACCTTCCACCACTTCCATTTGAGTTCTCCCCTTCTCCACCTTCCAAATTACACAGCAGATCGAGGAGAAAACAAAAGGGCACTCCAGAGTAGGCTTTGTAATGTTGAAGGTTTCTTTATAATTTATGTGCTCACCATGTTAAGATTAGGTTATGATGAGTGTAGTACGGGACAGACCATTGAATATGTTTGCATTTGGGACCTGAATACACTCATATTGTGAGATTTATGTTAAATGTATATCAGATAAATTATTTGTGCTTTTCTCCAGTAAAAGTTGCATAAACTTGATTTCATGACTCAATTTCCATGGATTGTTCTCAGTGTGCTGGCTATGTTAGAATTCTACGTTGACTGTCTCCCAGTTGCAGCTGAACTGGGTTTGGGATGGTTTTGCTTAGCTCAGCTACTTGTATCTCAGGCACAACTAATTTTTAAAAATGATACAGATTTTCTTCAAAAATTATGTTACAGTCTTAGTATTGGTTGAGTTTTTAAAAATAATACAACTTTAGCATTGACTGAATTTTCCCTGGTGGATTTTTTGGCACTGGCTGAGTTTTCCTTCTAACTCCGCCACTGCTCTTCATTGTAATAGACAAGGGCAAAAAGCTATGTTTAGTTGCATTTGTTTTAAAGAGATTAAGTTGTTTGGTAGGTTTGCCTTGACTTCTTGATAGAAACGGATCCTTACTTAACACTCAAGTTTTTCTAAGTTAGACTCTGACCTAGTTTGTTTGTTTTCCATCTTCAGAAAATGTTTACTTTTGTTGCAATTTTTACTCTTGTGAATCCTATTTGTTACATATTAAAAGCAGTGGTTCAACCGAATCAAGATCAATGTTGTCCGGTGATCAGCCAAAGCTTTTTTCTATTCATCTTGATGAAAGAACAATAAATCAATGAGGCTTGAGGTCAAGCGTACTTTCTGTTATTTATCTTTTTTTTTATTTTTAATTGGGCATTATGTAATTGACAGTGAAACTTTACTCGTGATGAGGACAAAACAATGGCACGACATCACATTCAATTTGACACCGTAAGCAACTAGAACAAAGTTTCTGTTAAGATATATAGTCCCACATTTGTTGTATGTGCAATCAATGTGGAGTTTATAAGGTCTTGGACACTCCCACCTTTTGAGCTAGCTTTTGGGGTGGTGTATCTCAAGCTTCTTTACATGGTATCAGAGCCTCGCCGTCCCTCACTTACTCTTGTGGACTTTCTTAGCACAGGTAGGATGGGCCTGTTGCATCTTCCACTCTTCAAGCCCAATGGGCTCTTGTGTGAGAGGGCGTATTGAGATATATAGTCCCACATTGGTTGTATGTGCAACTAATGTGGAGTTTATAAGGTCTTGGGCACTCCCACTCTTTGAGCTAACTTTTGAGGTGGTGTATCCCAAGGTTCTTTACAGTTTCATTGCTGCATTGGTCAGTCTGATCTTGGAAGACCCAACAACTAAGTTGGTTTTTGGGTTAACAAACAATTCTAACACCTAAATGGTTTGAAATTCGCTGATATTGATTGTTCAGTCACTTATGGCATGTTATTTTAGTCGATTCATCATGTAGTTATGGACCACAGACGTCATAATCATAGGCTAAAGTGAGTCACTATTAGAACAGCATCATTAGAGTGCTTGTTCTGCCCCTTAGTAAAGTATGCGTCATAATGCCATTTCACATATTTTTCTTTTCCATAATATTTGCATGACATACAATCATCAACTTGTCTTTAACCCCCATCAGTGACAAAGCCGGATCAAATGCCACCCAATCCAAAAATTTCGGGTATAACGTATAAGAATAATCCTAAAATGATTTGAGCCAGGGTTCGGTTTAGATAGAGACAGTTAAGCATAATGAATACTTGAATACATAAAAGCAATCATATTATTCTGATTATGTTATAGCAATCCCTGAAAAAGCATATATTGATCAAAGAAAGACCACGTAACCCACCAACCAATTGATGTCCAAATTTGCATTGCATGAATTGCATCTCTCTTTATCATTTATTATTACTGCTTCATTGGTATTAGGATTACCATTCCACTTCTTTTCATCAGCTGTGAGTAACTTCAATTACCTACAAAGGTCACAAAAACTACTACTTTTTTTGGCATCTTAATTGAGACAAGGCTCATAGACATAATCATACCCCAAACTGTAAATGGTAACCAACACTAAAAGTGAAGTAATTCAGCACTTGCCAAGCAAGTAAGGAAGTGTACATATCGCGCTTTCAAAGATGAGCAAAGCTAAAAGCAAGGGAGAATGGTCTGAATTAGATAACAAATGTGAATTTTCATTTTCATATGACACAACAAGATGCGGCCTGAATTGAGAGGAAAAGAGAAACAGTGAAACACAATCAACTCTAATGTTCAGCAGAGGGAACACGTTTGCTACATCCAACCAAACCAAACTAAAGCAGAAGACAACACTAGAGATGGTAGCCCCCATTCCAAGACCACCGGAGCAGCAGAATTTGGCGTTGAATGGTTAACAGAAGTATGAGGAGAAGGGAGAGGATGGACAAGAACAGAGACCTTCATCCCATTGAAGCATTGGCCATTGCCACAAATAAAGTAATACCTCCTGGCCTTATTCAGAGGTATGAAATCTTTGCCGCTACTCCAATTCCCAAAAGCCCCTTCTGTGGTGCAGTTGTCATAACCAGTTTGGTTCACCTCAAACACATTGTACTGGTTCTTCAGGTACCTAAATGCTATTGTATTCAACATACACAAGAAAAATCACAATCCCCCTTCAAGAAGAAGCTGAAGTAATAGTAATAGCAAAAATAATACAAGAACTAGCATTTAGCCACAAATTAACGAAAGACCAATTAAATGACTGCGTAATATTATTATGGGCGCTAAATCTTCAAGAACAATATTTGACATTTTCACTAATACTTGGGGGCTTTTTTTTAATTTAAAAAAAAACATATAATGAGAAAAAGGGTAAGCTAAATAAGCATGCCCAAAGAGGAAAGCATGTTTCTTTATGCCCAAAAAGGAAAGCATGTTTCTTTAGTCAAACAAATAAATAAGATCTGCAATGTTGAATTAGGAATGTCAAGTAAACATGAAGCAAGGTAGAAACAAAGAAACTAACAGATGAGATCTCCGACATAGAAAGTTTGGTTGTTGGCCCAGAGAGTGTAGTTGAAACCAGGGTTCCAACCACGATTTGCACCCACAATGTGGTCGGTGGCGGTTACAGTAGTGGCGACGACAGATACGAGGAGCAAGATGGCACAGATATGTTGTGGGGAGGAGGACAAGAACATGGTTGGAATTGGAACAATTAACAAGGATAAGGGAAGGGTAGTGTTGTGTTGTGCCTTTGTTTCCTCTACAGTGCACTTGGACTCAGCAAGTAGGAAATTAATTGGTGCATTGAGGCTCACCCAACACCAATTATTGTGCAAGGATCCAAAAAAGATTAACACTTGGCATTGGATACCTTTGCTGCTTCGTTGGACAGCATGTCATTGACGCATTCTCTTTTTAAATTAAACTTCCATTTGCTTTTTCTTTTCCCCTCTACCCCTTTTCTAACGGTCAGATTTTGATTAAAGGTTTTTCCTTTTATAAGGAAATGAAAAATGGAAGATAAGATTATATTAAAATTTTGCTTTTTGAAATATATTTAGTGTACAATATCATTGGCACATGACAATAATTTACATGAAGGTAGCGTTTTGAGTAAATGTACAAGAGAAATCCTAACAATAGTTTCTTAACATTACTTCTATTTTTAGGTAAAATCTCATACTTGTCCCACTAAATAATTCAGACATATTCTCTATCAGTAGGGTTAATACAATTTAACCTAATAATGAGAGAATGTTAATAAGTATTTTTCAATATACAATTTAGTCCATGAATAATGTTAATTGTGTTGTTTCGAATCTCGAAAGCTTTCGGCTAGTAGATGAATTTGTTAAAAAATTGACAACTTCACTAAGATAAACTTGTTAACAAATAAATAACAGACCAATTTGTTTAGATGAAACTTTCATGAACACTGATTAAAATATCACTGTTCATCAACTTTTTTACTTAAATGTCACGCGAACATTGTTATTTCTCAATATGCCACAGGAACAAATTCGTTACCCTGTGTAGCGAACTCGGTTTGCTGACGTGTCACATTTTTAATGAATAACAAGTATCAAATTTAAAAAAAATAATAATAAAAAAAAAAATGAAAGTCGCCTACCATGTAGGCGAACTTGGTTAAAATCAAGTTTGTGTCCACTAGAAACATGACACGTCAGCAAACCGAGTTCGCTACACCGGTCAGCGAACTTGCTCCTGTGGCAAATTAGAAAATAACATTGTTCGCGTAACATTTAGATAAAAAAGTTGGTGAACAATAACATTTTGGTCACTGTTCCAAACTTTCAAGAACGAAAGCAACACCACTAATATTATTGAAGTACGAAATGCTCCGTTGTTTTTATTGCACATGCACATCTTCTCTAGAAGAAATGCTATCTGTCTACGAAACAACGCTTCTTTCCTACGTTCATGCATCAAGATTTATTGCCCCTTAAACTGCCAATATATCTCATGCATCTTCTCTGGAATCTCAGGTATTCTTACTTGGGATTGGCTGGGCAACGTCTTAAAGCAAAGGCGCCTACTCTCCCCTGGGGAGAAGAGAAAGGAGAAGCCATCAATGCTGTGCCTATTTGAAAGAGTTATACGCTAACCCTGCGTTGCCCTGTAGGTCATGGGTGAAACTGGAATGGAGAATGCACTCCCCCAGATTTGATCTGATTTAAAAAAAGCAGCTTTTATGTCTTGTTTATTTTAAAAATATTTTTTAGAAAAGTTAAAGTTACTTAGATTTTGAAAAAAATATTGAGTTTTTGAAAAAAAATATATTTAGCTTTTGACTTCTGCTTTTTTTAAAAGTTAAAATTTTTAGCTTTTTTTTGTGTACAGATAGAACCCTTGTTCTATTTTAGGATGAGAAGGGAGGGAGGGAGCAAATGGGGCCGGACCATCCAACATAGGTGTATAAAACGAAGGATTTTATGTTTATCATGTAACATGATATAACATCACTTTCCTACACACACATTAAAGAGGTGGGGTCCACATGTTTTTCTTTCTCTTTCATCATTCCACTTTCTCTCTCTATTTTTGTGTGTGTGTTGGAAACAACACTTAAATCATGTAACATAACACTAATAAAACCCTAAAACGAATAATGTAATAGCTTTCTTGACAGAATAATGTATTATCTATGTGCATATCCACAAAATTCAGCATTGAGGAAGAGGAAAGATTAAAACAAAAGCTTGCAACTCCCTACAATATTTGGGAGTCAGCATGTACAGTTAGGATAAGTAAGTGAAATCAACCCTACAGATTCATATTTTTTGAAGTAAAGTATTAGGCTATTAGCCAACAAACACATACACAGAGCATTCTACACACACAAATACAAAAGGTTAAAAAATATCAAGCACCTATATATAATAACTTCACCACGGCAAAACTTAGGATGGATCAAGTACGAAGCACTAATTCACAGGTCCAGTCTTCTGGTCTTCTGCACCTTCAAGTCTAAATTTATCCTCCCTGAAAAACTGGTTGAAGAAAACATATTAGTTAGTTTTTATGGCATAATTTTTATATATAAATAATAGGTTGGAACAGAATGTTATTACTCATTTTCATAATTTTGACATAGACAACTAACCATCAATGGAGAACTCCCAGGAAGACACCCAACCAAAATATGAACTTCATATTTTGTTGGGTTACGAACCACAACAATCAAAACAAGGGAGTATGAGGGCTGGAGCATGCAGCAGCAACCAAAACCATCAAGCATTTATTTAAAGATCCATAACAATGGATTCCTACAATATGTTCCCATGTCTTCAGTACATCTGTTCCTGTATTGAAAATCAAAACTGACAGCAGGTTGTCAAGACTATGACAAAGTGAACTTCTCTAGAAATTCCACCATAATTAACAGTACTAGCACTGAATGCTTGTATTTACAACAGTAGAATGTAGAATGGCAAGATAAATATTGGGTGCTCTTGTTTCTCTGCTCCGAGTTGGAGAATGTCTTCTTTCTTGACTGGTCTCAATGATTTTTCCATTTCATCTTATCTTTTCTCAGAATACTCACAGTTTTATCACTATTAGCCCTTACAACATTATGTTTTCCTTCACCACCACTATCAAGTATTTCTTTTTGAAAGATCTTGTTAAGCTTTGGGTCTTCTGAACATCCATTTGAAAGCATCTCCTCATAAAAATCCCTGGCCTTTATGAACCACCTACATGTTACAAGCCCTTCAACCATTGTTTTGTAATGCATACAACTGGGCACCACATCATATGTCTTCATTTCTATCCAAATTTTCAGTGCATTTACAGGTTGCTTCAACTTTAAGAATTTTACCAGAATTATGAGAAAGGAATCCTTATTTGGACCCAAACCAGAACCTTTCATCCTGCTCAGAAATTCCAATGTTCCTTGATAATCTGTAACCTCAAAAAATGCATGGTAGGTCTCAGTGGTTGGACTGATATTCTCCTCTATCATTGTGTTTAATACTATTCTTGCCTCTGCTAGTTTACCAGCTTCACAAAGAGGGAGTATCATGGAGTTGAAGGTGGCAGAATCTGGCTGCAAACCTTGTTCTTTCATCTTATCTATAGTCTTGAGAGCTTCCTTCAAGCAATTTTCACGAGTTAAAACATGTACTAAAGAATTATAAATCTCTATCCCGGGGATCCATCCCCTTTTTTTCATCTGGTCATAGAGTCTAAGAGAGTCAAAAAGATTCCCTGCCTTTGAAAAGCAGGAAATCATGTGGCTATAGGAAGTAGCATCTGGTGTTATACAGCATTTCGACATTTCTCTCCATACTCTTTTAGCTTCATATACATCATTTGTTATATTACACCATCCATTGAGAATAATGTTAAAGCCCTCAATCTCTAGTGGGAAGAGCTTCTTATTTGCTAGCATAAACTCTTCAGCCTCTTCGACGTTTCCATATTTACAAAGAGCATTCAAAAGTGCATGGAATGCTTCCTGATCAGGAGTCAATCTGAACTTGTCCATAAAGTAGAATGTTTGAATAGCCTTGGCTGAGTTATTTGCATATGCATATCTGATTGAAATGAAATGCCACATGTGAAAAGGGGGAAAAAAATGAACTATCTGTAATCAATGTAGTTGACGTAGCACTAACAAGAATTGATGATATTTGACATCAGCACAAGAAAATATTCATTGTGCACATGAATCAGAAAAGTTTAATGGAAGGCTGGCACCAAAAATCAAATGTTATAATAGCAAGGAAAAGCATTACAATGGGCATCCTCATCAGCTAAAAGTAAGTAAAATAATTCCAATCCAACGGCAATGACTTTTTAAGATGGCCATTGGGGCATGTTATGTCCACCAAAAAGAAGTTTGAAATTGGAATTCAAACAAAAAGCAATCCAATGCATCAAAAGTGAATGTAATATTCATTCCAACAGTTCAGTTGTTCCCATTGTAATACAAGTATGAAGATGAATTTACAAATACTAATGCCATTGTATAGTTATAATTTGGTGTTTTATGATAAGGAAAAGCAATTTGATGTTACCTATCAATCATAATAAGCATAGCCCGATAGGTGGACAGAGAAGAACGATGCATATCTCGAATGATGGACCAGGCAGTGGAAAACTTTCCATGAGTTCCCAAAACCCATATCATCAAGTTGCAAACTTTCTCATCATTATCATGGCAATTCCATTTGAAGGCGAGAAATGCAGGTTTCCAATCTTCCCGCAAGGCCCAAATAGCGGAACATATCAAATCTCTATTTGCGTGGAATCCTGAAAAGTCGACACCATCTGCTTGCGGCGACAAATGGGCGACCTTTTTGAGCGATTCGAGGAATGGGGGTAGAGATGGGTCATCCAAATCGAAGTTGAAGTTGAAGGGTGCATAGTCATAAGGACACTGACTCTGAGAGTGAGAGGGTAGTGAAACTGTTTGATGCAATGCCTGAGAGAGAGAGGTAGACACATAACTATTTGCGATCCTAGTTACAGGCAGAACAAGTTGGGGACGTTTGGCAATGACATGCAACCCCCTTGAAAGGTAAAGGTAGTAGTAATGATGTAACTGTAGAGCCATTGGGAATTTCAACCTTCATCTGCTTATTTCTTATGTTTTAAGTCCTCTCTCTCTCTCCAAATTGAGTATTCAATGTCTCTCTCTCACTGTACTTCAAAAAAAAAAAAAAATCTCTCTCTCACTCATTTCCGGGCCCATCAACCGGTCAAGAACCGCGGTTTAACCGGTGATCCGGTAGATCGATTTTATAGCTCAACCCGATTTTTGAAAAAATATTTTCAAAGTTGTAGCTACTGGAATTTGAACTCGAGTCTCATGAGAATGCTCAACAACAACTTACCACTGGGCTGAGTTTGCTTGTTGGTTAATGTACACCATTTAATATATATTATCATTATTTCAAAATAGTATTTAGTGGAAATCGAACCCTTGTAATGAAGATATAAATTATAATCTTTACCACTAAACTACATTTAGTTCTTAGTTCAGTTGCACCATTTAAAATATTTATTATATTTGAATATAAAATATAAATTTATATATATCCGATTCATGCGGTTGAATCCGTGACCTACTAATTGAACCAGTGATCCATTGACCCAGTACCCTCACCAGTCGATCACCGCTCCGGGTTTACCTATGCTTCTATTGTATACTTAATATAGGTTTGGCAAATCGCATTTAGTAGACTAATCTAAAATGGTGGCATATATCTTAAGTTTCAGGGATACCATCACTTTTTTCCACTGCAAGTCTATCATCTCTCTAATTATTATTGAATTATTATTTTTTCTCTAAAAAATTTTTGAAGAAAGAGAAAAAAAAATTATGTTATAACTATATATTTTTTGAAATATATAATTATAATAAATAATAGTAAAAAAAAATCGTACAAATATCCTACCTTAAGTTTTGATACAAGTTTACGGATTCAAATTGAAAAAGTTATAAAATATTTATAAAAATAAATAAGAGATGATTAAAATATAAAAGATTATGTAATAATATTTTCCTTTCTTTCATTCTTTTAATTTTAAAATTTTTCTTTAAAAATATTTTCTCAAAATAAAAAAGAATTATTTTCCTTATTTTTTTAAAATTATCTTATTATAAACATACTTATTTTTAAAAGGGGCAGGATATACTTACTACCAAAATTTTTTATCACATTTACAACCAACCTAATCACCGTTGATTTCTGTCAATCTGACGGTTATAATTTATTGAAAATTATTGGATCGCATTTATTAATAATTATTAATTCTAATAAATTATAACCGTCATATTGACAGAATCAACGGTGATTAAGTTGATTGTAAAGGTAGTAAACTTTTTTGGTGGTAAGTATATCCTACCCTTTTTTAAAATTTATTTTTACAAAAAAGTTACATGTTACATTTTCAATTTTTGTAACCCAAAATTTAACCCGACGTAAGTTAGGTTTGTCTTCTGTTTATTCAAAAAAAAAAAATTCTATTGTATAAAAGTGCATTAGGAAGCACTATTGGTCGACAGAAAATATCAAATAGAAACAAGCTGCTAGTCAAATAATGCTTTATGTCAAAATCGAGCTGAATATTACTGAAACGGTGCCTAAGAGGAATAATAAACACTTACTGTTCTTGATCATCTGCGGAATTTAAAGAACAACGTAATTTTAATTGATATAACAGCTTTTGTACAAAAACTGTTAAAAATTGCCAAACCATCATAATTGGTGGGGGAAAAAAAAAAAAAGTAAACGAATAACTGATAAAAACACAACAAACTTTTTTTTATATATTTTTCATTCATGAATCACTTCACTAAAATGCCTTAATTCCCATTTAATACTTTTCTTTGAGGAATGATATATCAGTTGTTGGGTAGGGCGGTTAGGCACAACATCATTTGGGTCTCCTCCAAATAGGTTGTGATTGTGACAAAACATGAAATCCTCAAACATGTCCCTGTCCCTGTCCCAGGGTCCCCTAAAACATACAATACTGTTGAAAGTACTTTGTTAAGTCTGGAAAGAAGAAAAAAGAGAGGAACTAGGAAGCTGTTTTGTCAATTCAAGTATTAACTTTGTCACCATGAACAGACGTTGCTTTATCAGAATACCACAAGAAATTGCCTAAAACTGATAACAATTTGAATTGAAAGAATTGCTCTTCAGATGATATGAGCCGGCTTTTCATTCAATTATGATTGGATACAAAACGCAAAACGTCAGTACCAACAACGCAATTGCTTAATCCTCTTGACGATGGTCTAACTTTACTATAGGGGCATGAGTCTTCTGTACTTGAAGAACCAAACAAATGCACAAAATATGAAGCCTCCACATACTCCTGTTATTATAAGGACCCACTGGAATGCAGAGGGGTTATCAAATAATGGAATTTCAAAATTCATCCCGAATATTCCTGCTACCACACCAAAGATGGCAACGACAAATGTTGCAGTTGTGAGTAAAAGCTCAAACTGGATAAGCTGATTCCGCACATTATCCTGTAAGAAAAAAATCAGTTAGCTGTTCTTGATTTAATGGACTACCCATGCCCACAATCTACCCATGCCTCTCCCTCTCCCAATTGTGTGAACATGTGTGATAATTTGTGCATGTATGTATGATCAGTTATAAGCAACAAGACCATAATAGGATAACTAAAAAAACAAAAAAACAACAACTCCCCGTTAACCCGACTAGCGAGTGTGGGGTGGAGGAAATCCTTGTACGCAGCCTTACCCTTGCATAATTGCAAAGAGGCTGTTTCCTGGATTCGAACCCATGACCTTTCAGTCATGAAGGAACAGTTTTACCACTGTTCCGGTTCGCCCCCATAATAGGATAACTAAAACTGACAAAAACCTTTGGTGACTAATATGAAAAAGAAGGGAAAGAAAGCACACCAGTTGAATGTTAATGAAATCTTCTGTATCATCAATATACTCTTTCAACTGAAACAAAAAAGAGGAAACAGTAGTTGATAAAATGTGATGAAGCTAGGCAGGAAAAGGTTAATGTAGATAACACTGTTTACCGATGTCAACTTGTTTAGAGTGCTATCGATGACAACAAAGTATGCTTCTAGCAACATCTCCAGCTCTTCTATACTTTCTGTAGTGCTTTCACTACTCTTTGAGCTCTCATGTCGACTTCTAGCAATGCTCAAGCTCTTTTCAAGCTTCCGAGAATCAGGAGGTGACGAAACCGGAGAGACTGGAGCAGAAATGGATGCACCATCAACTGATCTATATCCAATCATAGACTGATCTCCATAGAATGACAACTCCATCCGCCTTTTCTTCTCAGTAAGATACATTTCAGCCATATCACCATCATCATCCATAAGCTGCTCTATTTCATCTCTAACCTGATTACATTCATCCAATAAAAGCAAATCAAAAAATAGATAATAATAAGACTCAGAAAATACGGTATTTGTCATTTGCAACTGAGAAGAAAGAAGAAAATATAAGCGAAGATCACCTTCTGAACCCTCCTAGTCAGGGCAACAAGTCTGCTTTTCAACCGGCGAACACGTTCCAAATTTAGAGTACTGATCTTTGATGTCAGTTCATCCAACAACGGATAAGCCTCAATTTCTAACTCTGCTGCCTTTTGTAAATGGCCAGAATAGAACTGAGAACTTTGCTAAATTATCAAAACCAAATGAACAAGAGTGCTAAAAAGAGAAATATCCTATGCAAGCCTATGGATCAAGAGTTCTGTTAGGATACAAAATGACAAAATTTTGTAAATTAGCACACTGTCATAGGACTTCTCATGCCACCCAATCGTAGACTTTTTCTATATATTAAAGGCCATGTAGAGGTCACATTATTGCCTTTGATGACTTTCCATCATACCTCACAACAGGTATATAGCCTCCATGCTTGACTTCCCTAGCATAAATCCAAGATGGTTCTCTGACATGTAAAATCCGTCTTAGTCAACTGACAATTACTGTTTCCCACCCTTCACACAATTATCCTAACATATAGAAACTCCCTGAGAGATGCACATATTCATGTTTAATTCCTTTTTTCTATATTTGTTTTTTCTCTATCTCATTTTTTCTGGTTGCGTAACTCATAAGTAAGAAACACCCGTACAATTTTACCATCAACAAATCACATAAGCTACATTACATATCAAATTGGAATCATCCTAAGACAAGGACACAATGGCTCTCATTGCAATTACTGCACACCCATGTGATCCTCCCATAGCTTTGTAAAGCACATAAATATGAAGTGTGGGCTTCGTAGCTCTGCCTATAAAGAAACCATGTATATATCCAAGAGCACGGATGACAAACTTGACAGAGCTAACCAATGACAAGATGACATCTGCCAGAGGTTTGCTCTACAAAAGGATGAACAACAAAGTGCTCACACTCAAGGTCACACATAGGACTAACTGCACTGGTGGAGGGGAAGACAAATTTCAAAACACTGAATCTTTTAGAGCTAATAGGAAACAAAAGCAATATTCATCTATTGTAGGTGGGAGTGGTACATATACTGGCTTTCTCTAAAATAGTGCAGCATAAGATTCTACGGACTTGGCATCCTGTTACCCCAAAAGGGCTATCTGGCCTTAATCAATAGGTACATCAAAAACAACATAAAATACGCATGGTAAGACTAATAAAATTACCTACAGGTTCACATAACCTTAATACTTCTCCCATATGGCCCAGGTTAATATTTGCAGAAATTCAATACTATTATGTGGACTATTCTACAGAAATACAAGATCTCTGTTCATAGCAACCATTTCTTCTAAAGTGAATAACTGAAGAAATAAAGAAAAACCATAATCTAAAAATCAATTGAAGTTAGCCTCTAATTTAATTATGTACTTCTACAAACCTGGGAGTCAAGAAATGTGCATGCTGCCTCCAAGGCAACTTCAAGAGCCCTGAACTCAAAAGGTAAATAATCAGGGGAAGTGTTGCTATAGACATTTTCAAAATTTCTACTTCCTCTCCTTCGGTTCATGTCAGGACCATCTGACTGCCAGACCTCGCCTACCCCAGTTGTTGTCAATCGTCGCTGTAGCTCCATCACATAGTGCAATACATAGCTATCAAGGGAATTCAAGAGAAGAACCTCATCTGCTGTAATAATACACCGTATCTGCTCTAGATTAACAACAATAGCCTTTTCCCTACCAAGGATTGTTGATGGATACACAAACAGAGGATCAAGTAGGCGAAGATCACGTGCTGGTAGATCACAACGCCGCATCATAGTAAACTTGTCTACCTCAATGGCTTGGGAGTTTCCAGATGTGTCAACACGAATCCAAGATCGGAGACCTTGGCCTCGCTTCTTTAGCCCCAGAACATCCACTCCCTGAAAAGGTTGCCTTCCCGAGGCAGATGGTCTATTGGCAACCTCTTTTAGGTTAAAAGCTGATGCAGGTTTTGGTGGGAGTAGCCGCTCTTTGAGATCTGCCATTATCAAGGTTCGCCAACTGCTGAAAGCATATATGAGGTAAGAGCATTAGCCACCTTAGCACTTGATTGATTCCAATAGCATTTAACAAAATCACAATATGATACCTATAAATCTATATAGACACATAGTATCAATCTCTCAAGTCTCAAACATACTTGTGGCCCCAATAGATGAACCATGCATATATTACAAATCTCCCATTATATATTCAGTGGCATCATGATCTGAAGAATGATAAAAGTCCCAGACAACTGCAAGATCATGGGAGGACGAGGACCATGTCCATATGGGCCCCTCTCACAAGCTTGCTTTGGCCACACCATAACTACACAATGGTCTTTACTTATCAATATCATTATGTATGCATCTTAAAATGATTGTGATCGTCCAAGTTACTAAGGATCTAACAATTCGATACACTAGACTATAATTATCAACTTCTTCTAAAAGGGCAGATTGGTGCTATAAAGTTCCCCCTATGTGCAAGACCATGGAACTTGACCTAGCATTTGCAAGAGGATGATTACAAGGCTGACACAAACTGCTGTGCCAAATTCCCCTTCAATTATCAACTTCTTCTATCAAAAAGAAAAAGCCAGGTTTTCGAAAAACTACAAGCCCAAGCACCAGATACTGTAGGAATATACGCATACATACAAATTAGAAACCCAGCAATGCATTTGTGCTAATATAATTCACCCAACAATAAAAGAAGAAAAAAAAAATCACGTCTTTTAAAGAATAAGACAAATTCTTCACTCAGCGAAGTATAATTCCCCCAAAAATTAAATTCAACAAAAATAAATTCAATCAAGTGCACTTTGTCAATATATAAAACCTGCATGGAATTGTACAAACATTCATACCTCCAGAGGAAAAAAAATCCCGGTGTTCTTCAACCGAAAATCAGATAATATCGGGAGTTTGCATTAAGTCCGATGTGGGTATCTCAAATTATGCGATTAACACAACTCTGCCACCAAAAAGGAATCATATTTACCAAAACAATTCAAAACAAAGGAAGAAAAAGATAGAGAGAGAGAGAGGATTAAAACCCTTGACTTAGAGTAAATAAAAAGAATACCTGAGAGAGACTATAGTATGATTGATTGCCGCCGAATTATAAAGGTAAAAACTTCAGTCCGAAGTCCGTACTCTTTCTCTGGCTGTGGAGTTCGTCAGTCACACACACTGCAGTGCACAGAAAAAAACTAAAACACCAAAAAGAAAAAACTAAAACATAGGACTCTCATAGTCTGGTGATAATTTATGAACATTAATTAATATAAAGTTGTGTTACTTTCAATCGAGAGAAATAAATAGATAAACGAGGAGAGAAAGCAAATAGGAAAAAAAATATAAAAAGTGGCTCAAAGTGAAATGACACAAGTTGTGTGAGTTGTTAAAAAGACAAATACTTTTCCGTTAATTAATTCTTCACAAATAATTAACTGTATCTATTACTTCATGCAAACATTTATAGCACATGACTCTTATAATTTAACATAATTTAAGCTGAATCATTGTTGATAAGGAAAAAAATATTGAAAAGAAGAAACGAAATTAAAATAAGAGATTAATTTTAGCCTATTATTTTATGAGATATGTTATATTTATTATTATTTTTTCTTATCACTAAATCTTAATTGTTGATTTTCGTCAATTTAACGGTTATAATTATTAATAATTAATTAATAAATATGATCCGACAAATTATAACTGTTAGATTGACGAAAATCAACAACTAAGATTTAGTAGTAATAAATGGTAAGAAAAAAAAGTGGTAAGTATAACTTCCCTCTTATTTTGTAAAAAAACCTTCAAATTAATAATTGCATAAAATATCAAACTCATTAAATGATACAATAAAAAATCTGTATAAATTTTTTTAATAATAATAATAATACATTAAAAAATTCAAAAAATAAATATTGTTAAGAGAAATATGTGATATATATAGGGCTTATCGTTTATCAAGCTGTTTGAGATAATTTTATCTCCGACTACTAAATCATAACCGTACAAAGATTGATCAATGGTGATAAAGGAAGAGAGAAAAAGAGAATCATAATCATTCAAAGGTGAATCAATTAATATAAGAAAATAAATAAACAAAACGACGTAGTTTTGGGATGACCGAAGATAAACTTATCTCAAACTGCTTGAGAAATATTTTTTCCTATATATATATATATATATATATATATATATATATATATATATATATATATATATAAATATGGCTTATCTTTTCTCCTGATGGGACCTCCTTGACATCTAAGAAAGGAAAAGGGTTTTCTTGAGAGTTTATTGCGAGTTGAGTTGATGTACGATATGATAATGTATTATATATTGTGTTTATTCTGCTGTGATACATATGAAGCAAACTTTAGGGCGGAGGGATCCTCCAAGCATCCTTAATTTACAGAGATTTATATTTCATCTTGTGAAGATAAAGTTATCTCCAACAATCCCAAAATAACGTAGTTGAGTTTTGGTAAAATTCATATAACAAAAAAATCCCTAAAATGTCCTTTATTAATTCTATCAATTCTCAAAACAACATAGTTTTGGAATTGATAGAGATAACCAGTGACGGAGCCATTTACTAAAGTGATGCCTTGACACTAGCTAAATTTTAAAAATGGTACAAATTTTCTTTAAAAATTATGATACAACCTTAGCACTAATTGAGTTTTTAAAAATAATACAACTTTGACACCGACTGAATTCTACCTGGTTGAATCTTCTGGCACCAAGTGACTTTTACTTCTAGCTCCACTAGTGAGATAACTTTATATTATATGGCAAGAGAGACACTTCTTATATATATATATATGGGACAGGATCCTTTGACACTGATGTCAAAGTAAAAAGTTTGACACCAAATCATGACCGTCGATTTATGCCAATCTGATAGTTATAATTTATTGAGTCAAACTTATTAATTAATTAGTCATTCATAATAAATATAACCGTCGATTAACGAAAATCAATAATTAAAATTTGGTGTCAAACTTCTAAGCTTGATATCGGTGTCAAAAGATATTATCCCTAATTTCTATCTACTAAGATGAGTTTAACTCTTATTTAAACTCTCACACATTTAAGTGTAAAATTTTACATATAAAATGTTGAGCTATAGATAAATATTATCCTAACTCTATTATTTTTTATTGTTATTGTGCACATTCATCTCTTCTTTGAATTTTTTTTTTAAGTGATCTAAGTCTATGGTGATCCTTTCATTAAGGAAGTGAAATTTGGAGGGAAAAAAAAATTCCTCTCGCTTTTCTCCGTCCATTGAGTGGAATGTGTTCTGGAATGATAGATAATGATAGATAAATCTGTTATTTCTGTTATTTTCTGTTATTTTACTTTTCCCAACTGCTATATATAGCAGCACTCATGTATCCTTTGTAATCAATCAATACAATAATATTTCATTCAATCTCCTTCTTCTATTTCTATTTTCTCTCTTCACACCGTGTGTGATTTCCTCTTCTCTTTAAGCATCAAGGTCTGATACCTCACATGGTATCAGAGCTAGCAATGATCCATGGAGTCTCCTCAATCATCACCAAGATCTTCTACAAGCTCTGAAAATGCAAAATCAGTCAAGCTCATTATGAAATCTTTCTCAAATCCAATTGCAAACAAACTTGATGAAGACAACTTTCTTCCTTGGGAGCAACTGGCTCTTGCTTCAATCCATGGCCATAACCTGCAGGATCATCTCAGCGAAGAAAAGATCCCCACCATTTTTTCAACTCAAGCAGATAAAGAAAGTGGAAAAGAATCAGAAGACTATGCAACCTGGCATCAGCAAGATCATCTTCTTGTGTCCTGGCTGCTCTCTTCCATGAACATATCATTCAAGAACAGAATGGTAGGATGCAAATTTGCTCATGAAATCTGGACAAGGCTGCAAGTGTACTTTGCTTCCCATACATAGGCAAAGGTTAAACAATTGAAAAACCAATTGAAAAACATCAAGAAAAAGGGGCCAGCATCAGAATATCTTCTTCAAATCAAGAAGATCATTGATTCTTTGGGAGCTGTAGGCTCACCATTAACTGATGCAGAATATTCAGAAGCTATTATTGATGGTTGAGTGAAGAGTACACTCCATTAATCACTTCTGCAATGTCAAGATCCCCACCCTTTTCCATAATTGAGTTGGAAGCCTTTCTTCTTGCTCAAGAAGAAATGCTCGAAAAATTCAAGAAGACTGATCCTGTTCCCATTCAGGAAAATGTCACACAAACTAATGTACAGCAGGAAAACATGTTCAACAATAATGAAGGCAGATCCTTTGGAGGAAGAAGAGGCAGAGGAGGCCGCGGCTTTAGAGGTGGAAGATCACAAAGTCAACCTTGGAATTCTTGGAATCAAAATCGGTTGCAATCCCAAATCTGTGGAAGGTTAGGACACCCTGCCTTGAAATGTTTTTACAGGTTTGATTCCAACTACCAACAATCATCACAAAATACTCAGAATCAACAACCTCCTCCACCTCCACCTCATTCATTCCACAACCCCAAGGCATATATGGCAGGACCTGCATCACTCACTGACAACTCTTGGTATCCAGATTCTGGTACCACTTATCACCTCACCAATGATCTTGGTAATCTCTCTTCCAACTCTGAGTATAATGGCTCTGAGCAAGTTCATATTGGAAATGGTGCAGGTATACATATTCATCATGTTGGCAATTCTTTTTTAACCTCATCTGCATCTCCTTTTCTCTTTAAACTTGATAATCTGCTACATGTACCTTCCATAACCAAAAATTTAATTAGTGTGTCTCAATTTGCTAGAGATAACAAAGTCTATTTTGAATTTTTTTCTTGATTATCGCCTTGTAAAATCTCAAGTCACTAAGGACATTGTCCTCAAAGGCAAGCTTAAAGATGGTCTCTATCAATTTTCGAATGTATTAGTTAATAAAAGCTCATCTGTTCCTACACCCCCTATAGCTTTGTATTCTAAACATGTTTCTTTTGATCTATGGCACAAACGATTAGGCCATGCTAGCTCCAAAATTGTTACATTTGTATTACAACAATGTAATCTTCCTGTTTTTGATAATAAAACCACAATGACTAATTCTGTTTGTGAAGCCTGCTGCTTAGGCAAAATTCATCAATTACCGCACTTTACTTCTACCACCACTTATGCTGCTCCTCTTGATCTCATTTTTTCGGATATATGGGGACTGTAAGAACCTGCACCGTTAATTTAAGAAGTTAATTAATTAATTATGTGAAATTAGGAAATAATTCCATAATTTACCCTAATAATTATTATGAGGCTTTAATAATTATAGTAAGTGATTAAGAATGCTGAAAGTCGATTTTCGGAAGAAAAGTGCAGATACCGGTTCTGCTAGTCGGTATAAATGCGTACCGAAAAAGTATCCCGAAAAATTATGATAAGTGCATGATAATTACTAGAATAATATATAGGACTTGTAAAACGAGTTTCAAGTCAAAATAATAAGAACTGGTGCCAGAAACTGGTATTGGCTATCAAAAGCGCGTACCGAAAAGGTGCTCGGAAATATATAAGAAAAATATGATAATTCTTATAAAATTGAGTAGGTTAAGAATCCTGAGTTTGAGATTAAAATACTAAGCGTAGCAATTAAAGTTAATACTATGTGTTAATTAGTTAAGTGATTATATAAGCTTAGTGCACATGATCCTAGGTCATAAATTGCTGCCTCCTACGTGAGTTTTGCTGAGTCTTGAGTCAGCCACCATCTTGCTTCGTTGTAAATTGTAATTGAGATTCAGATTGGCAGTATGATTAGTTGTAAATATAAAAAAGTAAATTGTAAATTGTAAATTGTTTCGTTGATCAGAATTCAAAGTAAAAAAGTACAGAGTGCATTAACTCCTTTGTTATTTAACATAATCTTATATTCTAAAGGAATCTCATTCTTTGTCAAGTTTGTCAACGTTAGGAATATTAACAAGCCAAGTCGATCCGAGTTTTGCTCTTAAAAAGCTAAGTCTGTATTTAAATGAGTCAGCTTGACCAAGTCTGTTATCTGTTATAAATATAATTATTGGCCTGTGACCTGTCTTATTTACAAAAAATAAAAGTCTGGTTTAGCCTGTTAGCCTGTTTTAAAAAAATAAGACGATAATTTTTTATTTTTTTTTGGTAAGCAAGACGATAAAAATTTATCCAAACATAATATATAATCAATAATACTAGTAATTCCATA